CTGGAACTGGACTTGCTTCTGTGGATGAGCTCTCAAACAGCAGAAAGACCTACAAGCAGAATACTTACCACAGGGAGATGCAACCCCTACACCAATCAACCATGAGACATCAGAAGGCCACCACTTGCTTAGAGGGAAAGCTGGACAGACAGAATGCATAGACAAGAAAGGCACAAAGAAGGAAAAGTCACAGGGAGGAGATGGAAGAACTTTTTATGTTTGGGGATTGTAATCAGGGCCGTGAAGCCAAATGTGCATGAACTGTTGTATGTAAAACAAATCTGCTTTGTAAATTTGCACACACATCACACACAAAAAAGTATGGTTCCAATCTTTTGTGTAATTCCAATGTGCCCTGTGCAAATCCTATATTGTAGCAATACTATTTGCCGTTTTCCCAAAATATGTATAATTTTCTGCCTATATACTGTTCCATCTGTCTAGAATTCTGGTCCTGTTCACCTAAAGCCTAACTCAGTTACTATCTCTAGATTTAATTCTCTGAATTACTTCAGTATTTTATATACATGCTACATGCTTTATATCCCTACTTAGATTAAGTTTCTTGTCTAATACCCTGTCTACTGAGTCTCCCAAAATGCCTGGTACCTAGTAGGTATCAATTCTTGCTGAATGACCATTACAATGGAATTATAGCACTCAATTTTAAACATTCTTTTTCAGATTTACTTCATTTTAGAAACAAGAAATTTCCCAGGAGTGTAAAGTCTGATTTTTATGATGGGAAAACAAGAACTGCAGAAATTTTAAGCTTACAAAATCCTTAAACTTTAAAATATGCAAATATGTTGAAAAAAATCAACAGTAGTTTTTAGGGGGAGATGAAGGACAGGGGCAAGGATTGACTGGGAAGGGCCATGAGGGTACTTTTGGAGGTGATAGTATTATTTTCTATCTCGACAGGGATTTGTGTTACAGATGTATGTATGTGTCAAAACGCACTGCATGGCACACATAAGATCTGTGCATCTCAGTATATGCAAATTTCATCCCCCAAAAAAGTAAACAAATATTGAACTCTAATTAAGGAGCTCTGGTAGCGTAGTGCCTAAGGCACTTGACTGCTAACCCACCAGCCAATCCTTGTAAGGAAGGTTGGACAATCTACTTCTGTAGTAATACCGCCTCGGAAACCCAAGGAGGGGTCACTATGAGTTGGGTTCAACTCGACGTCACATAACATCAACAACAACAACAATTAATGATATGCATGCTGACATGTTGAGGGGAAAAGCGTACTGATGCTTGCAACTTACTTAGAAATGCGTAAAAAAAAAAAAAAGGATTTAAAGTTGGGTAGATGGGCAAGTGACAAATATAGCAAATTGTTAACTGTACAATCTAGGTGGTGGAAACAGGTGCTCATTGTACAAATTTTCAACTTCCCTACAATGTTTAAATATTTTCATAATAAAATTCTAGAAAAAATGCATCTAATCTTTAAAACAAAAAGTACATAACTTCCTGTTTTTCCTCCACAGTATTCAGTGTAGTGCTTTTCACATTTACCATACTTTAAGGTCTCCAGGTGTATAAATATTTGCACTCTACCAACCTAAAGAGGTGGGAGCTCTGGTAGCATAGTGCCTAAGGCACTTGACTGCTAACCAGAAGGCTGGCGGTTCAAACCC